TGACAAGATATTATATAACAAATAATCAAAATAAGATGAAAACGAATTTTTCTCTTGATTATAATTTGAATTCTGTGTCCATGCAAAAAGCATATGCACAAAAAACCCTATGAAAACTTCTTTCCGTACGCATTTCCTTTTATATCATAGACGAAATTTCGTCAAATAAAATTAAAGAGATACTAATAAACAATCTGTAGTCACAGGCTAAATGCAGAATATTCCGATCTGATTTCGAGCGCATTTCAGTAAATTAAAATATTCTTGTTACCCCTTTTCAGTTCTTCTCATTAATGTTCATTGTTTTCAAATACGGATGATTAAAAAAGATTAATTTACATTTTCTTTATCTAACCAACTAGAAACCCGGATGTTATCTTGAGGTCAAATTTTTAAAATATATTTTTCTTGGACAATCAAACATTTTTCCTTTCCTCCAAACCGCCAGTTTTTTATGACTTTAATTTGGATTTCAGATCAGTTAAATCAATGTATTTTTTTCAGCTTAGTGTTAAGGATAATGCTGTCAACATTTTGAACTTAGAGAAAAATAGTATAGCATTTTTGAGCTTTTTCGATAATCCTCACATTAACCATTTTTTTTTAATTGGGAATTGGTATGTTATTCATTTTGTTAGTCCCTTCACTCCATTGTAAGGCCTTTGGGTTCCGATTAGAGCTAAGTTTAGCATTTACGTCTTCATATTAGGCCGTATGAAATTGGTCTATCAAATGCGACTTACTCTTTTTTTTATTTTGAGGCTTCTTTTTTGTATAGTTAGGAAGGTTCACCTTTGCTGGTGTCTCACGTTATTACCTCGTAATAAATCCTTAATTATAACTAAACCCTTTGGGTGGTAGTTGTAGATTACGATGATTATGTCAACAAGATTATGTTGTTTGTGTTTGATGGGAACAAAGACTGGGAACGAATGAAACATATGTTAGGACAAAGTCAATTGTGCTGAACTTTCTAAAGCGTTTACTCACTTTGGTTAAATCAATTGTGTTCTTCCATTTCTTGTCATGGTTCACAGATCAGATCCAGGAAATCAGCATGTATGGGTTTATCTACCCCGTAGGATTCCTTCTGCTCTAAACAGCGTAAAATCAACCTGATTAAAATGTCGGTTCATCGAGTCTTAGCAATATTGTCGCCAACGAAATGAAATTCTGAAATTGAATCTATTAGGAAGATTCTAAGCGAGAATCGTTACACCTTGGCTATTATGGATTCTTGCATTAGAGAAACAAATGCGTCAATTTTGTAATTTCTGGTCCCCAAAAATGTCCCGTCTATTTGCTCTTACCATGGATTGGTGAGATGAAATTTTAGTTACTGCAAGAAAAAGTTATTTCTCCGGCAATCCTCTTATCGTTTTTGGTACCCCACCTATACTAAGACCGATCCAGAAGAATCTTCTACCTACGCATCATATTAGTTTTGTTATTTAAATAATTTACATGTTCAATGCTGACTACGTAGGCGAGACAGATCACTGGTTGGAAATACGGATCAACCAACACGTACCAGCCAATATTCACAAGGGAAACGGGGACAATTTGAATAGGTACGTTAATATATCAGGTTCAGCAATAGCTGAAAATTTAATTAAAGGCCAACAGTGTGTCCGTTTTATAGCCTGGACATGTTCATAGTGTTGAGAAGGTCTACTTTCACTTATCACTTGAAAGATCTGGAATCATTGTACATTAAGTAATATCAGCCATCTCTTTGTAAGCAAAAGGAATCGTTGGCGAGCTTAAAAGTAAGTAGCCATTAATGTTATATTTTCTTACGTAAAACAGTTGAGTGGAATTGTATGTTTTATAAAGGATTGATACTATTTTGGTTATGAAGATTAAATAACTTAGACATAATCTCAGTGCTTAGTAGGGATAATTCCGATAATCCCTTGAAAGGGTTGAAATCAGTATATCTTAAGTCCTATCAGCCATCTCTCTGTAAGCAGAGAAAATTATTAGTGGGCTTAAAGGAAAGTAGGCTTTAATGTCATAATTTCTCACATAAAATATTTGTCTGGAGTTGTATTTTTTAGTCGTTGTGCACGTCTTTTTCTCCTCGATCTTAAAATTCATTGATATATTTCGGTATTACCAATTTTACGATGATATATGTATATTTGTTAGCCCCTATTTTTGCAAAGAATTGTTTCGTTTTTGTTATAAACTGCTTTTTAATATTTCTGCATTTATCGCTCTAATATAGAAATACTAAAATCTTGTCCAATAATACGTCAATGATTATTGTAAAACCTACATGAAATTAATGCTTGATCTATGAGGAAAAGTCATATTATTTTTTTTTCAGAAATTTAATACTTTGAATTCAGGTATTAACTTACATTACTAGATTTTCGTTTGACTTAGTATTAGAAATAATATTTATTTTGGATAATTATTTGTTTTTATAATGCCTGAAAAATGTTATTTCTTTTATATTTTATTATATTTTTGGCAAACTTGGAACATCATGCCCGAAAAAAAGACCAGACTGTTTCCACCGCTATTATCTTAACTACCTTCACTCCTCGGCAATGTTTAGTGTTTTAAAAAGCGATGATTAGAATTTTAATAAAGCCTACACATATGAAAGTGAATTTACACATTTTTTTGTTCTTGAGAATTTACAACAGAAATTTTAAACATCATTTATTTATTAGATTGTTTATTTACAAGAATAATTTTATATTTACAACATTCTAGAAACTAATGCAATAAAATATTTATTCATAAAGAAATACATATGAAAAATATTACCCATAAATATATAACATATTTGTGAGCCAACTATAAGGAAATCCTTATTTATAATTTTATAAAGTTTGAATCAATTGGCAATTAGCCGAGATTTTGCCAACCATTCCAGTAGACTATATAATAAATAAATAGTGAAAAATAAACAATCTAATAATTTTGTGATATCAATGAACACTCGTTGTATCTTTTGTGATGCCAACGAATACTCATTGCCACTTTCGTAATGCTCGTTGTGGTAGAGACTTTGTAATCGCAAGATACAAACTATAATACGGCGTTGAACAATACTGGTGTCAGTAGCCTTCGAATAACTGTCGCACTAACAGTACTTCCTCGATAATACTAGCGCGAATAGTAGTCACCATATTGATCGGAATAGAGAATAATGTAGAGAACAGAGTAGAGAATAACGGTCCGCATAGTAATAGAGAATAGACTAGAAATGACGATCCTAACAGTAATAGAGGATAGACTAGAAATGACGATCCGAACAGTAATAGAGGATAGACTAGAAATGACGATCCGAAGAGTAATAGAGAATAGACTAGAAATGACGATCCTAACAGTAATAGATAGACTAGAAATGACGATCCGAACAGTAATAGAGGATAGACTAGAAATGACGATCCGAAGAGTAATAGAGAATAGACTAGAAATGACGATCCGAACAGTAATAGAGGATAGACTAGAAATGACGATCTGTATAGTAATAGAGGATAGACTAGAAATCCGATCAATTAGACGTCAATCTACCTTCCATATACATGTTTCCTCTATGGTCACGTGGTCTACTTAATTCAATAATGGGATCCCCTGTGTTTGCTCACTGGCGATCTATGTTCAAACTCAAGTGTCGGCAGTGACACTTTATTCCTATATAACAATTAAATAAATAGTGTTTATTATTTTTGTTGTCAATTCTCAAGAACAAAGAAAATTTATAAATTCACTTTCATATGCTTAGATTTTATTACAATTCTAATCATCACTTTTTAAAATAATGAACATTGCTGGGGAGTGAAGAGAGTTCAAATAACAGCGGTGCCAATGGAAAAAAGTCCTTTTCACACTCCGTTTTTTGTGGGCACGAAGTTGCAAGTTTGCCATATCTTTTATTTCCTCTTGTCCAACTACTGATCGGCGTATGATGTCACACGCTGGGCATATTTTCTCAAATAATATCTGAACACAAAACTTAAATATCTTTTTAAGAAGAGGAGACATGTTGAAAGCCTCCAGCCTTTTGATCAACTTTATTAAAGAGAATCGTTGATAAGTTTAAAACGTTAAACCATGAAACAGTATTAACAATAAAAACGACGTGAAACGCTTTAAATATAAATTTTATCTTCCATCTTACAAAAAAGTAAAAGAAAAAAAGTCGCATGAGACAGCAGACCAACTTGAGTTACGTTGAGTAAATTCAAAGAGGAAGAAAGTCTTTCGGCTTTCATAGAGTTGCTTAATTCCTAGAAATGAAAAGAGACTTCAAAATCCTTCGGTGAAAATGCCAAACGTAGCATTCTTAAAATATTGAATCTGTTGTATTTGAAAAAGTTTGTACAAACGGGATTATCAATGAGGTACTTGCCAATCGCTGAATTTCGTAATACACTGCGCATGCGTGAATGTTGTTGTTTGACCTGATTGACTATTTCAAAATCCATTTTTCTATTCTGTTTTCACAGATTTTGAACAGATTTGATTCTGTAGTCTGTTTGAAATTCTGCGCATGCTGAATTCCAGGCCTGCCATTTTATCGTAACTTTAGAAAGGAAACAGGCACCAGTTAATTCATGATTTGACCATTTTTCATAGTTCCGTGTATATATCAATATCTGACATATTTCCAGGTCGTTTTTATATATTCACTTTCTACGTTTTAGCTGACATTGTTGATATTTCTTTTCTTCTTTTAATTCATTCGTTTGAATTGTTCGTTTTCAATATTAATATTCTGTTAGCCATTCTTCATTCCAGACTTTCATACTTATACTTCTCAATTGTATCCCTCTTATCCTTCCATATTCAGTTATCCCTTCCTTTTTAATTATCTTTTTCCGTGTTCCATCTTATCAAACAGACCATTTGCACCCAATCGTATCGAATAGAATATATCAGTGTTCTCAAATAACTTAATTGCTACTGAAAGAAGTATTCTTGTATTCGGCCTCGATATGAGAATTGCCATTTATCTCTTTTGTCAAGTTCCTTACAGCCACATCACGTTAAAACACCAGTTCCTATACGATCACCAATGATAAGCAACGTGGAGCCTGGTCAGTACATACATGGGTGACCGCTTGGGAATACCAGCTGCTATAAGTATGTAACTGGGAACGGTGTCATGGATAATGTCTCGTAATTGTTAATGAGAGAGCCGAGAACCAATTGAGTTCGTTATATTCACTTACGCGCAAGGAAAAGTATGAATCCACTTTTTCTCCCCCAGCTATGGATTAATTAGTAAAACTTGTATCACTAAACCATTATTATCACCAAGAAATATTCTTACAATTTAAAAATATTTTTGGGATTTTAAATAACCTCCAAATGGTTGATAAGACGATGAGAACGAATCAATCAATCCTTTGCCTGAAAAGCTGATGATTTTAAAAGTTTTGTTCATTATTTCTGTTTTCAAACGCATCTGTCCGTAAACTGCTATTGATAAAATAACGTGATATACTTATGTATCAATGAAGGATTTCGCGTTTATGATATGATCTATAATATAACAAGATAAGAATTTAAGTGTTATAGAATTGGTCATTGAAATAATTACATTTTATTGTGTTTTTATTCAATGCTATTTTGGCATTTAACTTTTGATTGCTTCATGCTCGAAGAAAAATATAAATATAAAGAAATAAGCGAATTAAAATCAGCGCTAAAGCAGACCGTTCACCCATCTTTGGATTTACTTCGTTTCACTGCCAATATCTGAATATATTTCTTTGTTACTAGTAAAACACTTTGGCAGACCGTCACTTGAGACGTTTATTATTAATGACGAGTCAGTGACAAGCACGTCAAAGCTAATTTCTACGAGACTGTTATGAAATCATTTACTGTCATTTATCGTAAGTTGTGCTTAGGAGAGTCAAACATTTACCACTTACCATTTGATTGTTGTTTCCATGGGCGGCGATGAAAGATATATATATATATATATATATATATATATGTGTGTGTGTGTGTGTGTGTGTGTGTGTGTGTGTGTGTGTGTGTGTGTGTGTGTGTGTGCGTGTGTGTGTTTGTGTAATAGCTGGCCACCCATATTCAAGGATACTACTAGTGCGGCTAGCTAATCCCTATTCCAGAATCTCGCTCAGGCACATTTCTGTTTATTCAACACCCACAGAACCAACCTGTGGTTCATACTGCAACTATGCTGGGCAGACCTTAGTTACAGTTTCTGAGAGAAAGCATGTTATGTAGAATGATCAACAATCTGAACAACACCAACACACGATGAATTGTGACTTCGTGCTAGCACAGGTATCGACGGCTCCATGTGTTCCATCTACCCAATTTCAATATATATATATATATATATATATATATATATAGTCGCGATATATATAGTCGCGATAGATAAATTGTCCTTTAAATTACGCAAAAATGAAAATAATATTGATATGAATTGTATATAGCTGAAATCTATTCGAAAATTATTTCTAATTTTAAAACATAATTTAAGGGAATTATTTATTCAAATAATCCACTCTATCATACCGAGTTTTATAATTAGTGGTTACTAACACCGTGGAACCTTGTTATTATTATTATTATTATTATTATTATTATTATTATTATTAAATATCTATTACATAGAAGTCAATTTTGTCATCGAATAAAAAATTGCTAAATTTAGACACATAAGTTCCGATGGATAAATTATCGTCAAAATTACGCAAAAACGAAAGCAATTTTAACAGATATATTTACCAAAATTACACAAAGATATCTTGAAATACTAATGAGTAAATTTATTCAATAAGATCGTCATTGTCTTCAACCACGGCCTTCAGACGACATCGTAATCTCCTGCACCTCTTCTGGGCGGCTTCCTTGTTTAACTTGGTGAATCCTGCCATAATCTTTGCCTACAATTCATCTTTGGTGTTACAAGGAATTTTGTTGATGTCTCGCTCAACTGCACCCAACACATAATAATCAAGTGGGGTATTGTCTGGGGAGTTAGGTGTCCATATGTAAGGGGTAATAGTCGCAGAAATCGTCTGACAGCAATGAATAGGTTTTCTTGCTTGTGTGGTATGGTACAGTGTTCTATTGCCAGACATAGGGTCTTCCAGCAGACACTCTTTTGACCCAGGGCAGCACTACCACCTCAAGGTACTTGATGTACGCCTTCGTGTTGAGTCTGAGTTTTTTTCTTATCAGAACGACCAGAGCGAGTTTTCAGAGCTACCGTACTTTTGTAATCACCATTGTATTCACCGAACACTTTCCAAATGCTCTCCACTGTCCTCATATTGACATCCAAACACTTTGAAATGTTCTTATTAGGGCTCCCGGTGTTATTGCAAAGCAGTACCGCATGACGTTTCCAAATTTATGTCAGAGTGAATTGTGTCATGGTGCTCTTTTTCTCACAGACGGTGTCCAACTGACCCTATTATACTGTATAGTCGAAAAAATCAAAAACAAACAACGCGCATGCGCGAAATTAAAAATATAAAATGGTGAACATTTACCCACCGCACACTGTACATATACAGGGTTCTTAAGGTTTTTTATGACATGTAATTATACGCCTGCAATTATGAGGTAGTCAATAAAATGTGTTTTTATCTTATTAATGAATCAATGGCGAACAATCTGCTAATGTAGAAGATATAACATGTTGCAATTGTTACTTTACAGGCAAAGCAATGTTGAGATTGTACGTGTTTTGGAAGTTTCAAGGTCGTTTTTAAACAAAGTTCGAAAGGAGTTGGAAGCTTTCAGCGAAAATGTGATGCCTGTTGCGAAGCGCAAAAACATTCACATCGTTTGGACTGTATCTGGCCACCACAATTCGTACAGCGAGTGCAGAACATCGGCACAAGTTCTGGAACGTCAATAAGGGTCATTCCCAGCAATCTCAAGGTGATCGACATTCGGTACAAATTATATGTGATGAGGAAAGGGTAGTACATTTCGGCATACACAGAATAACAACGGTTTAGCCAAACAAAATGATAACTGAACAAGTTGAAAGATACCTGGCGTACTCTGAGTTTTTTTTTTTTTTTTTTTCTCCCAGGACCAAAATGCGAACTGACATGTGATTATGTGTGAATTCTTCTGATGTCCCTCTTGTTACATACTAAGTTTTCCGCGTCTGTGATGGTTCTAGTGGTTGTGATAGTGATGGATACGTCATGTCACCCCACTTCTTCCAACATCTTCTTCGGTTGAATGCTGCTGGTTACACTGAGAGTAAAACAGTTGGGAAACCCTGGATAGATCTTGTATCCGATGGAAAGCCGTATGCATTTCAGCAGGACTCTGCACCTTTCAAATCTATGGTGACCATATCGGTGCTTTGAAACACGGAACCTCGTACGATCACCGAAGTTGTGCAATATTGAGACTTCTCAGTAGTTTAGCTTGGGAGTCCGCTTGGGAATACCAGGACCTCTAAGCTTTTATGTGCGGATGGTGTAATGGATAACAATTTGGAATTGGTAATCGCAGAGCCAAGTTTTAATTCCTGACAGATTCTTTCTATTCGTTTACTAGAAAATACTATAGGGAAAGGTATGAATCCATCTCTTCTCCTCACAGCTATGGGTTAATTAGTAGAACTTGTATCAGTCAATTAGTTTTATATCCAAAGAATTGTTACAATCCAAAGACATTTTTCTGCAAAAGGTTGATAAGCCGTAAAATAACAAATAAATCAATCACTACATATATAGGATGATATAAATATCAGATAGCATCTAATGTACATTATTCAACTCCTTTTGTACTTCAGCAAGAGTTTTAGGTGCGTTAAGGGAATGTCAGGTGTCGTCCCATCAATTCCTTTATATATGAAATGGGGGACATGTCTAGTGATTGTGACAACCAGTGAAGACATTAATTATATTTCATAATTCAAATATGTCAGTGTTTGGTACTGCATACCGTGGATGAATAAATTCCGATGTGGTTATCCATATCTACTCCGTATACGACATCGCCTATCTCGGGCATGAAAGAGGGACTTCTTATCAATGAATATTACAAAGTATTATTGGATTCCCTAGTAAACTTCTTGAGACACCACTGGAGTTGTGTACCTTACAGCTGTAGGGTAAGTGGAATTCTGGTTAGAGTCACGCGGATCTGTAATACTGCTGCAAATAAATGGTTACCAATTGTCTGTTCCTACGCCAATGTTTGTTTTGGTTGTCGTTCAGTCTTAAACAAGCGTCCTTAAAATGTTCCAATCTTTATGAGTGTCAGTATTATGTAGCCATCCAGAACAAGTGTAGAAATGTTCATTTTCACCACTGTTGCCAACATCCTAGCTCATCGATTCATAAATCGCATAAATTTCATAAATCGCATAAATTTCATAAATCGCATAAATTTCATAAATTTCATAAATCTCCGAAATTAGCATCCATCCTCTCACCGCTCTACAATCTTCCCTTCTCAAGCAGCTTTTACTGAACAAAAAACAAACAAAAAAAAAAACATGCACATATGGATGATATAATAACTCCGAAAAATCTCATATATTTCATAAATTTCAAATATATTTTCTAACAATGTATGTTCAGTAATAAATTCGTTTTCTGACTCAGCCAAACCTTTAACGAATATGTGAAGTATCCTTTTGAATGTCATAAAACATCTTGGAATTTGATTTCCTACTGAACTGTTACGTGACATCTGTCCTTCTTTACGGCAGCGAATGTTGGACGATTTCCTCAAAAATGAAGGAGAGACTCGAGGCAACAGAGATATGGTTCTACAGAAGGATGTTAAGGATACCATGGACCAAGCGTGTGAGCAACGATGAGGTCTCAGAAAGGTTTCAAACAAGGAAGAGGTTTATACTTAACATCAGAAAGAGGCAGCTGAAGTTTCTGGGGCACATAATGATCAAGGAGGGCCTGGAGAATCTGATACTCACGGGTTGAATAGAGGGAAAGAGAGACAAGGGAAATCAACGCGTGAAATATCTAGCGGGCTTAAGCAAGTGGATGGCAGAACGTGGTCTGGAGGAGGGAAGTAATTTGTTGGGAGCTGCAGGGAATGGGGGGAGATGGAGAGCCATGATTGCCTACGTCCTGAAAGGATATGACACATAAAAAAA